GGGCCACACAAAATGACTTGGCGGCCCACATTGGGCCAAGGGCCTTGAGTTTTACACCCCTAGTGTCAAAGTGTTTTTTTCAGGGGCTGCCTATAACTATATTAGATGTTGAATCATAACATAATTACCTACAAATAACAAAATGTCTGTCTTTTTCTCCTTTGTTTTCATGCAAAAAAAAGTACATTAAATAAATCTTCATATTTAAGGAAATACAATTTTACAAAACATTTCCCGAACATGAAATATTTGTGGGGGGTTTTTTCCCCAAAATTCACGAAGCGGGCAGGTTTTGGCCCATGTGCCATATGTTTGACACACCTGTTATAAAGTCTCACTCTTGGTCTTCTATGTTGTAGCCTGAAAGTAGCATTAAATAATATTATCCTGTTTATATTAAAATTCTTAGGAGAGAAGCTCTTTTTGTCCTATATATATATATGTACACATATATATGTGTACATATATATATATAGGACAAAAAGAGCTTCTCTCCTAAGAATTTTAATATAAACAGGATAATATTATTTAATGCTACTTTCAGGCTACAACATAGAAGACCAAGAGTGAGACTTAAAACAGGGGTGTCAAACATATGGCACATGGGCCAAAACCTGCCCGCTTCGTGAATTTTGGGGAAAAAACCCCCCACAAATATTTCATGTTCGGGAAATGTTTTGTAAAATTGTATTTCCTTAAATATGAAGATTTATTTAATGTACTTTTTTTTGCATGAAAACAAAGGAGAAAAAGACAGACATTTTGTTATTTGTAGGTAATTATGTTATGATTCAACATCTAATATAGTTATAGGCAGCCCCTGAAAAAAACACTTTGACACTAGGGGGGTAAAACTCAAGGCCCTTGGCCCAATGTGGGCCGCCAAGTCATTTTGTGTGGCCCACAGGAGTTGTTTAATGGCCTCATAATGAACTCCATGTTTATTCCAAGTACGAATGTAAAGATGACTAATTCATCATCCACTTCCTTTTCCACTGGAGGTTATTGAAACTAAGACCTTCCAGAGAGATTTGACTAATATCCGTGTCCGTGTTTACTCGCTGTCTTCTGAAGCCCTCGTGGCTCATGCTGTCTTCTGGTTTGCCTCGCAGAGCTGGTCATCCCAGACAACGCCAACGTCTTTTACGCCATGAACACTTCGGCCAACTTTGACTTCCTGCTGCGGGTGCGCGGCTCAGTGGTTAGACCCATCCAACTGCGAAACCGCTGCAGTACCACGCTGCCTCGACCTCAGCACCGCACCAGCCTCTCGATCAGACTCAACAAAGTGACACTGTGACACAGGGGCTACTGTGAGCCCGCAGTCGGCCTTCATACCGCAAAAGTGTGAATGTTGAAGTGCAGTTCCTTCGCACAGCCACTACACAGAAAACGCGGATGTGTTTAATGTGCTGGACTGTGTTTGTTTTTTTGACAGAGCAGGGCCGCGATCCAAAGTGGTCTCTGGTCTTACCACAACAGATTCTTTTTTTGCACATACGGTGGGAGCGTTTAAAAATCCCACCCGCCAACAGTATTCTGATATTGAAGTGTACTTGTCCTGTGATGGCCAAAAAAACGAGTGAGGATGATGACACGACGTTGAATTAGAAAGACAGAGACGTTAGTTCTGTTGCCCTTGAAAGATGACTGGAGGACAGTTAAATGAATGATCTGATTGATGATTTTGGACATGTTAACTACATCAGGTTCAAAGTGAAGGTCGGGTAGTTTATACGTAGCAGTAAACCGTCAGGGGGATGGTTCGTTCAAATAACCGGAGGTTCTTTGAAAAGCAGTATTTGTAAAGAAGAATTCATTTGTAACTTTTAGGGGTAAGTAAAAAGTTCTAAGACAGATTGAAAAAACTTATGAAATCCTCTACATGTTTTCCATTTAGAGAAATGAAATTTAAAGTAAGCAAAGGGTCAGCGGAGTTCGATGTTCGAACTAAAAATGATCTCAGAAAAAGGAGCTTTTGTTCAATTTAAAAGCTGTGGTATGATTCAATTATACCACAGTTCAAAAAGCTAGTACAAATGTTTTTTTTTTTATTCATACATTTTTCTTGATAATTATATTTTCTTAAATATATATTTGATATCATCTCAAGGGCAAAATAAAATATTCAGCCACATTTGGCTCACGATACATAATTGGCCCCCGCACCGGGAGTTTGAGAACCCTGGTCTATGATTAATCTTGTCTTAGCTTTTTTTATAGCATGACGGGTAATAATTAAAGGATAATAAATAAGATTTATGGGATTTTCATATTCGATCTGTCTTGGAACTTTTGTAACCTACCGTTGTATGAGAACACCTGAAATAGGTTTAGGTGTAGGTTTTCAACAGTGAAGAAAAAAATATAAATTATATTAAGAAAATTAGATGATGAATCAGAGCTGGGGTCACATCATATATATCCACAGCCCCCTTCAAAGACCTTATTTTGCCACCAGGATACAACGTGTATTTCCTGTCCGTGGTCCAGGGCCCTACTTTAATGTCTGCCATGTGCACAGTGTGTACAGTATCTTCAGTGTTCTTTCTAATGGTGACCTGCGTGACGAATGCCACGTCCGTGCGCATTCCGATTGGTCTCAGCACTTGGTTTTAGCAAGTCCTCGACACACGTTGACGTGGCCTTAAGTGCCCTGCGTTCAGGGTAAAGAGATGCAATTTGTGCTGCTGTGCCTACACTGTGCTTATGTGAAAAGGAAGGAAGGAAGGTGAGTACATCAGCAGGAGGTTGACAAATGTAACGAGCACCGATCACTGCCTCTTAACTGTTGTGTACCTGTACCTCATTGACTTCATTATATGAATTATAGAATTGCACTTATCAGTTGGTAGAAAAATACCAACAGGATGTGAATAAAACAGAGTGAGTCACTCTTTGAAAGTAAATACAAACAAATGTAAGATGTTGGGCATTGTTGTTTTTTATACGTTTTTATACCAAAAATTCAATATTCCAGATAGTATTAAAATAAAAAGGTTTTTTTTAAAGGTCATATTTTAGCAATGTGCTAAACGTGTGATGCTTTGAATATTCCTTTCTAGGCCAACTCACCTCTTCAGAAAGTTATTCCCTTTGTATTTTTTTTTATTATTTCATCTGCTCTCCACAAGTTTACATGGTCATTCTGTCCTGCATAAATTCCACGTCAACAGAAATATTAGTTTAATGTTGGCGTTTAAGGTTCTCATGTCTTCAAGATTTGTTTTAAAACGTTGTCTTTTTACTGCCAAAGACTTTTACTTCTGCCGGAATAAATAAATTATTATCATGGTTACGGTAGCTCTCTTTGTGCATCTCTTACACAATCTCACGTGTGATTTGTAGTTTAATCTGATATAAGCTTCTATAGCAGAGATTTTAAGATTTTAGATGTTAAGCGAGCCAGACCAGTACAATCATAACATAATTACCTATAAATAACAAAAAGTCTGTCTTTTCCCCTTTGTTTTCATGCAAAAAGTACATTAAATAAATAATATTCATATTTAATGAACTATAATTTTACAAAACATTTCCTGAACAGTGGAAGCAGATGGAAACTCCAAGTGGACCAGTTTTTGGCCCATGGGTCGTATGTTTGACACCCTTGTTCAAAGTAACTTAACTAAGTTACTTTAAATTAACTAAGTAACTTTTACCCAAAGTCAGTTTTAAATTAAATATATTTTGCTTTTACTCAAGATTTTTAGGCGTGCACTTTTACTTGAGTAGAATTTAAGCAAAACAACTATATATTTTTACTTAATGAATAATTAGTACTGATAATTAGTAGTTTTCCCCCCTTTCGTCAGAGTATGAGGAAAAGTTGACGCAAGCTGTGCAATACACGAGCACGCACGCGCACATAAAGGCATATTATCAGGCTGCGGGTCACCTAGACCCAAAGTACAACACGAGGGTTACATGATTTCATTTCTATTTCTTCATGTCGTTGTCTTACGACACTGACGTGTGTCTCGTGTTGTTTGGTCAAAGGTTGTTCAGACCGTAAAACAGGCGCCGCCCCTCGTCGTACTAAGTCTCAGAGCCGGGGGAAACGAACCACTGTCACTGACTGAACTTCGGGGGCATGAGACAATCGTAGAGGTCAGTTATTCCACTTTTTTCAGTTTCATTTTCGGGTTCCAATCTCAAACTCCTTAAAAATTAGCCACTCCTAAACTAGTTACCTCGCTTGTCTAGAAGTTTCTCCCTCTTCATATGCGAGTTCGTCGGTTAGCCATTTATTTTAATGTAGTTCGGGTGACTTTCACGAACCCTAAGGTGGTAGGTGGCAGCTCTTAAAATATAATTTTTTGTGTGTGTGGGAGAGAGAAAGACGTTTGGACATGTCGTTTGTGTGTATATGTCATAATATGGTGTAACTCTTCAGACGGGTCCGACTGCCATAACTGCCAAATGATGAGACACTACCATAGCTACTTAGCTAATGTAGAAGTGGTAAAAAAAAATATGTAC